TTGTCTCCTGCACTGTGCTAATAATATAATATAATATAATATAATATAATATAATAATTGTATATACATATAATATTGATAATATTATATTGTAATACAATATAATACTAATAATAATACAATATTATAATTATATATTTATATTACATGTAATATTACTAATAATATTACAGTATAATATTCATAAAATGCAGCCATAACTGCTGATAAAACTGATTGTTTTCCATTAATCAACCCAGTGCCAAAGTATATAGTACAATATAGTAATATATAATACTAATATTGTACTATGGTAGTAATATAATATATTGTATTTACATATTACTTGTAAGCCACTATGAGTTCCCTTTGGGGTGAGAAGGGTGGCATATAAATGTCGTAAATAAATAAATAAATAAATAAATAAAACTGGAGAAAACTCAGTTCAAATCCTATCTCGGCTGCAAAAATCACTAGGCGATCTTTGGCCCATCACTACTTCACAACCTGATGTACCTCATAGATATGCTGCACAGATAATAATGTCAGTGGGAACCACATACACAACCTCAAATCCCTCAGGGCAGAGATGGAATACAGATTAATAAAATGAATACAATTTAAATAAAATAAAGATGACTGGTATTTCTTACATAATTAGGGGGATTCTGAGAGCTGTGTTCCCAATACGTAACCTGCCCAGACTCTGCTGTTTTGTGAAACTGCTGACTGTGTCCTAGCGTCTCCATCTGAGTTATGCTTCATCTGCATAATAATAATAATAATAATAATAATAATACTTCATTTGTATTCCACTCTATCTCCCTGAGGGGACTCAGGGCAGATTCCAGCATACAGAAACACAAAGGCAAACATCAAAGGCCTAGAAACAATGAAACTCAGAAAAAGGTAAAGGCTTCCCCTTCTGCTCATCTTCGGTTCTGGGGTTGGTGCTCATCTTCATTTCTAAGCCAAAGAGCCTGCATTTTCTATAGACACCTCCTATGTCACGTGGTCGGCATGACTACATGGCATGCCATTTCCCTTCCTGCCAAGGCAGTACATATTGATCTACTCACATTTGCATGTTTTCGAACTGCTAGATTGGCAGAAGCTGGGGCCAACAGCGGGAGCTCACCCTGCCCTGAGGATTTGAACCGCTAACCTTCCAGTCAGCAAGGTAAGCCCTTTCAACCAGAGTTTCTTATTAATGGATATATGGTTGTTGTTTATTCATTCAATTGCTTACAGAGGCGGCCCTAGCTAATTTACAATGGTAAGCAAACAGTATTTTGGTGCCCTCCCCCCCAACCAATCACTGATATATATTTTCTGTTTCGTTATGGGAGTTCTGTGTGCCATATTTGGTTCAATTCCATCATTGGTGGAATTCAGAATGCTCTTTGATTGTAGGTGAACTATACATCCCAGTAACTACAACTCGCATATGTCAAGGTCTATTTCCCCCCAAGAGCGCCTCAAGAGCGCCCCTGGGCAAAATAACTATACTGCGAATGCTTACTTTGCGTAATGGGTTGAGCCGCCCCTGATTGCTTCTGACTCTTCGTGACCTCATGGACCAGCCCTCGCCAGAGCTCCCTGTCGGCCGTCACCACCCCCAGCTCCTTCAGAGTCAAGCCAGTCACTTCAAGGATGCCATCCATTCATCTTGTCCTTGGTCGGCCCCTCTTCCTTTTTCCTTCCATTTTCCCCAGCATCATTGTCTTCTCTAAGCTTTCCTTTCTTCTCATGATGTGGCCAAAGTACTTAATCTTTGCCTCTAATATCCTTCCCTCAATGAGCAGTTGGGCTTTATTTCCTGAAGTATGGACTGATTGGATCTTCTCACAGTCCAAGGCACTCTCAGAATATATATATATATGATACCTAGTCCATTTTTTCTGTACATTAGCTTTTTCTTATATTATTATTATATTTATTTATACCCTGTTTTAGCTCCCCAAAAGGGACTCTTATGTGGCTTCTGGTACCTAGAAAATGTTTTTTAGGATGAGCATAGATATGCCTATTCATTATTGTGGGAGTGTGGAGGGTTGGTTGCCACTGCTACCTCCATTTCCCTGCCTAGGCAGTTAGACATCGCTTTACTAAGAGAAGAGGATGGTTCCCTTTCTGATAAAAGCAAAGATATAGTATTAACCAAAATAGGACCCATTCCTTTCTCTGAATAGAGTGGCAAAAGGTGAGAGCCACTCTCAGGAGAACCTAAAAGAATAACCACCACAACCCACAATTTTCTTTGTGTTCCTTTGGGGGAAAACACCAAAGAGCCACCACCACTACCATTTTCCTACCCAGGCATTAAAAAGGGCGAGAAGTGGCACAAAGACTAGAGGGAGTCAGTCCTACTCTCTATATATTTTAACCTGTATATTTTGTATAATGTTTTTATAATGTTATAATGTTACATGTTTTAAGCCCGTGTTTCTCAACCTTCCTAATGCCGCGACCCCTTAATACAGTTCCTCATGTTGTGGTGACCCCCAACCATAACATTCTTTGGCTACTTCATAACTGTAATTTTGCTCCTGTTATGAAACGTAATTTGGGAGTTGTAGTTGTTGGGATTTATGGTTCACCTACAATCAAAGAGTATTCTGAACTCCACAAACAATGGAATTGAACCAAACTTGGCACACAGAACTCCCATGACCAACAGAAAACACTTGAAGAGTTTGTTGGGCATTGACCGTGAGTTTGGGAGTTGTAGTTCCCCTACAGAGAGCACTATGTACTCAAACAATGATGGATCTGGACCAAACTTGGCACAAACACTCAGTATGCTAAATGTGAACACTGGTGGAGTGTGGGGAAAATAGGCCTTGACATTTGGGAGTTGTAGTTGCTGAGATTTATAGTTCACCAACAATCAAAAAGCATTCTGAACCCCACCAATGATAGAATTGGGCCAAACCTCCCACACAGAAGCCCCATGACCAACAGAAAATACTGTGCTTTCTGATGGTCTTTGGTGACCCCTCTGGCACCTCCTGGCAACCCCTCCAGGGCTCCCGACCCCCAGGTTGAGAAACACTGTTTTAAGCTATGTTGTAATCCACTTCAAGCCATGAGGAGAGGTGGGTAGAAATAAAATAATAATAATAATAATAATAATAATAATAATTATTATTATTATTATTATTATTATTCCTTTAGGTTCTCCCAGGATGGCCTTTTCCTATTCTACTCAAAGAAGGGGATCGTTCCTTTAAACAAAAATATTTCAAATACAATATTTACATTGACCCATGGATAAATTGACTCATGGATAAATTCACCCATTTGTATATCCAGTAGGTTGAAAAGACTTACTTCTTCGAAGAATACAGCAGAAAACATCAGCCAGACCCTGTTTGTACATAATAATAATAATAATAATAATAATAATAATAATAATAATAATAATAATTTATTTGTACCCTGCCACCATCTCCCTGAAGGGCAGCTAACAAGCACTCCAAAGTACTGCACATAAAATAAAAACATAAAATTAAAAAAAATTACATAGATATCAAAGTGATAAAAACATGAGCAAACATTCATAAAATATCACATAATAAAATTAAAATTTCAAATTCATAAAATGCAGTCATAACTGCGGATAAAACTGATTGTTTTCCATTAATGAACCCAGTGCTGAAGTGCAGCTGCCAAGTCCTCAGACTAACCCTTAAAATCTACTCAAGATCAAAGCTTATTTAAAAAGCCATGTTTTTAGACTTGATGTGAAAGCTTCAAGAGTGGGGGTAATCTCTCTAGGGAGAGCATTCCAGAGCTGGGGGACCACCACCAAGAAGGCCCTCTCTCTCGTCTTCACCAACTGTACTTGGGACGGTGGTGGGACTGAGAGAAGGGCTCCCTGGCATATCTTAGAGCCTGCACCGGTTCATAAGAGATGCGGTCGTGAAGATAGGTTGAACCCGAAGCCTTTTCTATTGCCGTAAAATCTTCTAGGGAGATGTTCTAGGTTTCTTCATCTATGCACAATTTGTGTATTTTGAAGTAAATATAAATCACAAAAATTCCACAAGCTTTCCATGCTTTCACCTCACTTGAAGCTTCCAGCTTCTTGGAAAAACAGGTAAAACATGCCTTTGAACATTTCCTGGAGCACATCTGTGAAGGTGACAGTACAGTAGCAGCCTCATTCTTCAAACAAGTTACAAGTGGTCCTTACCACCTGGAGTTCATTTAGGATGAGCTAGGACTACCCAGTTAAAGACTACCCAAATGAGATTGGGAACAGTAGTAAATCTAGAGGTCAGAAGCCAGTGGGTGTTTCGCAATAATTGGCTTGTAATTTCACCAGTATTCAGAGCTCAGTACAATAACTTTTCTGAGCTCTGCCTAAATGGTTTAAGTGTCTGGAGACTCCCGCCAGGGATAGATAGATAGATAGATAGATAGATAGATAGATAGATAGATAGATAGATAGATATTCTTCCCTTTTGTCAAGCAAAACTATAATGGAAATCAGCCTCAATGATATACAAACTAACAATGTCGTAATTACATCAGTTTAGTACACAGGATGATCCCAGTCACAAGTGCCGAAAGCTGTGAGTATCTCAGCTCTGCTTGTGTGTTTGGTTAATCTCTGCTTCATCAAAGACATTAGCATGGGAATGGAACTTTCCTTGCTTGCCAGATCTCTTAGATATGAGGAATGCCATTTATTTACAAGCAGATAATGCAACGATGCAGCTTTCCTTCCTCATCAAGGAGGATCCACAGTTTGCAGGAGAAAGCCTATTTAGGCTCTCCTCTGATGACAGACCAGAACTGGAGGGGAAAGTACAGAAATGTGATCCCATTTTTAGTTGTACCCAATTTCTTTCAAAATATATAATTAATGCTATTTAACCATGGCTCTGTGCCCTAAATATTTCCCCTCTGTATATGTGAAATCACTCAACACTTTATCCATCCTCTTGTTTCCTGTGGTCAAAATGAAAATGTGAAACCCACCATGCAGTCCATTTCTGTATTTCTATACCTACCACAGAATTGTCGGTGAAAATATCTGGGTTGTTCTCATATATGAATTTCTCTACCCGCATCTGGCGGAGTTTGAACATCTTGGATCCCCTATTGGTGAGGAGAGAGAGTTCTTCTAGCATCACATCTCTAGGGATGCTGATCTTCTTCCCCAGGTTCAGCTTGGATCCTTCTTGTGGCATGACTGAAGGTGAACAATAAGATTCGTGTTAAAACTCCATGTTGGGAGAAAGGTGGGCTTTGTGTCTATGTATTTGGTTCCCTTTGCTTTTCTATATAAAGTCCCTGCAGAAATAATCTCATTTTTGACTGAGATAATAATAATAAAATAAAACTTTATTTGTACCGCTACCATCTCCCCAAGGGACTCGGTACGGCTTACATGAGGCTGAGCCCACAATACATCAGCAAAAACAACAACAGCAATACAAAACAATAAACTGAAAATCATAAACAAAAAAACAAGCAGTAAACATTAACAATAGCACAACAATGCTTAAAAACCTATGACTGGGTCAAATGTAATAATTAAATTTTTAAAAAATAATGCTGAGCATGACCAGGTGAAATATATAACTAAGATAGAATTTCAGAGAGGAAAGGGCGTGCAGACAATCCTAGATCATTGATAAAGTGCATTTAGGGACATATTGCTGGGAGTTTCCTTATTCTGGGAAGGCACACTGGAACAACCATGTTTTCAGGCTCCTCCTAAAGACTACCCACAATATGCTATTGACAAGTAACTGTGTTTCCAGTATCATTGTGAAACTTCTTGAACAGTAAACTAGAGGGCAGTTTGGGATGGATTAGAGTGAGCAGGCAGAAGATACATTGAGATTGTGTTGGAAATAGCAACTTTCTTCAAGCCTCCATTATTTATTTGTTATGTAGATAATTCATATTGTTTCCAGTAGTGTGTATATGTGTGTTAGTTTTCAGTTTTCCTTAACTCTTTGCTGTGGGAGGGGCTGCAGACCATGTGATCAGATCTGGGCTTGTTCAGGGCTCAGACTCCCTTTTCGATCTCAGACACCATTGGACTTTCAGACTAGACAGAGACTCCATTAGATTCTCAGAACAGAGATGCTTTGGACTTCGGACAGTTGTTTATGAGAAAGATGCCCTGTGTTATCTGCACAGAGAAACTACTTTAAATCCTAACTGCAACTGGATTGATATGCAAAGTACTGTATGCTGAATACATGAAATTTGTGAGTAAACAAACTATGTTACTTTTAAAGAAGTCTACTTTTTTGTCTCCAGAGAGCATGATTTAAAGGCAAATATATTTTAAGGAAGAATAGATGTTTTGGGGCAATTTAACATTTCTGAAACTCTGCACAAGTTTTGTGTATTGGCATATCTTTGTCCCTAACAGTTCAAAGACATACCTAGGTACATCAGTTTAAACAGCTGAGAAACCTAATTGCTTTGCATGAATGTCATTTTCCCAAAAGGTTATGGCATCATCAATATTGTGACTTCTAACAAGGTCATGCCTTTCCAAAGATCAGAATCTCCAAAACGTTATGGAGATTTCCATTTTCCAAAAGATAAAATGTGGAGGAATGGGGAGTGTGGGAGGCAACCCCCGCCCAAAAAAAACCTGATGTGGTGTTGGATGAGATCTCTTTCCACTTCAAGGATTTTTTTAATTTGTATTTTGAGTGAACCAGGCTTAGAAAAGAAGCCGATGGATATTTCAAGAAAGATTTCCAAGCCCCATTGCTTCTCAAGGCATATTGTGAAACCACTCCAGTTGTATATATAAACTAGTAAAAGATTTGGTTATTGCTAAGTCATCCAATTGCACTTTAACATTTCAGAAATTCCAATGATTTCAGCAAACTGAGTTCGCACACTGATAAGATCATCAACACTGTTTTATTAGTTTGAAGGATATACATAAATGATTGCATCAATGTTAGTATTGTTCATTGCACATTCATGCCCCAAGCTGCATCTAAAATATGATAGATGAGCTTTGTTAAGTATTGCTTAATTTTCAAATCAATAGTGATGCAATGTTTCATCCCAAGTATTAGTATTAATTTCCTAACCAGACTCAGCAATTCAATTATGGTTTATACAGGTTACTTGCTACACATACACATTCCTGTATGGTCTGGTAATAGGTCAAGGAAATAAAGATTCCAAAAATGGTCAGTCTTTATTTTTTGATAAGTCAAATTTCTCATCCCCCCTGCCCCAATAGAGTCATTATGGGCAGTTGTCTATTTGATCAGTCATTTGACTTTCTGGTTGTCTTGAAAAGTAGGTGCCTGGTATCTATACAGACTATGTTTTGACCATCATCCTCTCCATTTGTGTGCTTTGTCAACAGCCATGCACTGAGGTACACGGTATGTCAAGTTGACTTCCCACATTATGAAGAAGGTCTTCTACAGTACATTTTCAATATAATAATCAATAGGTAATATATGCTGCCTGGAGATGAAAAGCTGGGGCAGGTGTTTGTGTCTGTGTGCATGAATGTATATATATCTTACCTTCTTGGGTTAGTTCTAAAATGAGTTTAGTAGGTTTTCTCTTCTTGTGGGGAGCTGGGGTTCCTGCAAGAGGCATGCTGTTCGAGGGATTTTCTGTGTGAGAATGGAATGGTGGAAATGAATTCTAGTTTACATTAGGCATCAAGCTGCTGTCTGTCACTTTAATGACAAGAGCACGCAAAAGTTCATCATTCTACGTTCCCCTCCCCGCAAAATAACACAACCAAAAGAAACTCCAGGAACACTTAAGAGCCAACTATCACACTGTGGGGATTTTAAAATTGTTTTTAATAGTTGTAATGATTTTAACTATTTATTTTTAACATCCTACGCTTAATTCTGTTTTAGTGTTAATATGTTGTAGGTTTTATATTGTAAATTGCACTGTTTTTAGCAGTGTCAGCCACTCTGAATGGGGTGGATTATACTGCTGAGCTACAGAACTTGCTGATCAGAAGGTCAACGGTTTGAATCTGCAGGATGGGGTGAGCTTCTGTCGTTAGCCCCAGCTACTACCAACCTGGCAATTCAAAAACATGCAAATGTGAGTAGATCAATAGGCACCACTCCAGCGGGAAGTAAAGGCACTCCATGCAGTCATGCTGGCCACATGACCTTGGAGGTGTCTACGGACAACGCCAGATCTTTGGCTTAGAAATGGAGATGAGCACCACTCCTCAGGGTCGGACTCAACTAGACTTAACGTCAAGGGGAACCTTTACCTTTACCTTTACACTGAAGCCCCATCTACACATGCTGTAAAATCCAGAATCATGTAGATTATAAGAGGGAGGGGCTAGAAAACTCACACCCCTAATGCACATGCAATGCACATCCACATGGGAAACACGTGTTTAAAAAAGTCAGGAGAAAGTATGAAATCTACAATAAAACATCCTGCAACAGATTAGTGTATGGATGCTGCAGACCAGAAATCCAGGAGAAACATGCGCAGCACTCGTGTAAACATTGCTATCTCTGGAAAATTTGTATAACCAGGTATGGTGCTCTCAGGAAGGGAAACAAATACCTTTTCCCTCGCTTTTCCCCCTCTTTTTGTATTTTATTGGGAAGATGAGATCTATTGCCAATTTCTCATTCAATGTGCTATAGCAGTTCAGCCCATTTCTCAAAATGGAATAAGAGGTGGGGAACCATGTTGTTGGATCAATTCAGCATGAGATCTTTATGGATGTCACAGGAGCTTTTTCATGGTTCACAGGGTGTGTGTGGAGATTTTCCAGAGTTGAACCAGATTTCTTTAACCCACATTCTGACCTGGATTATGTGGCTATGTAGAAGTGGTATCAGTCTCTTTTAAGATAGAAAAAGATGCATATTCATATTACTACTTTTTTTCCATGTCAGGAGCGACTTGAGAAACTGCAAGTCGCTTTTGGTGTACGGGAATTGGCTGTCTGCAAGGACGTTGCCCAGGTGACGCCGCAATGTTTTTGATGTTTTACCATCCTTGTGGGAGGCTTCTCTTATGACCCCGCACAGGGATCTGGAGCTGACAGAGGGAACTCATCCATGCTCTCCCTGGATTCGAACCTCTGACCTGTCGGTCTTCAGTTCTGCCGGCACAGGGGGCTCCAATATTATTACTACTACTACTATTACTACTACTACTATTACTACTACTACTACTACTACTACTACTAATAATAATAATAATAATGCAATTGCATTCCAATTGCTCTATTTTGCACTTTTGATCACTTTTAAAATCCTTCCACCACCAATCGCAATTGCCTTGTTTGTTCTCCACTGCCGAATATGTGTGGGATAAGTTTGAAGAATCATATGTAGGCAGGGCTACAACATTTTTGGCTGCTTGCACAGAAAGGGGAATTATGCTTGCAAAGTAGGAATGGTATGTGTGCAAGGAAATCTTCACAGCAAAAGAGAAAAATCATTATTTTGAAATCTACAGCATTACACCAAAATATGAATTGTGAAAAACAAATGTTAACATTGTTATGCTCTTTCTTGTTCTGTTTCCATTGACCGTATAGTCCCATCCTTTTATTATATAGAATTTATATGCATAAATAAAGCTAGCCACAAGGGGAAAGTAACTTGCCCAAGAAACTACGTACAAAGGCATAAATTGAGCGATGACTCTAACCTCAATCCATCTATTTTAACTCACATTTGGACTAGAAATCTAGGACACCAGGTTTCAAATTCCTTCCCCGCTATCAAAACCCAATTGGTGATCTTGGGCAAGTCATAATCCCTCAGTCTTAAGAGAAAGGCAACAACAAATCCCTCTGAACAAATGTTACCAAGAAAACCCTGTGATAGGGTCAATATAAATCAGAATTGATTTCTAGGCACAGAGCTATGACAAAGTACTCATTTAATAAAAGGTGAACTAGTGAGTCTAAGACACAATAATTTGCTAGAGAGCATCTCTGTTGTCCCACTCTCATATTCTTACTTTCCAGTTCTTCTCACCATTTATTCTTCCCTTGCTTCCTTTCTAAGGCGGCAATCCTCCATGCACATCTATGTGGGAATGAATCCTCAGTCTTCCTATATATTAAGAATATACTTGTTTATATATACGGGATTGAAGGACACATACTCTTGTCTCAGCTCCAAACACTTCCTCAAATGAAACCACTCTTACTATACTGTTTTATACTGTTTTTTGTCAATAGCATTGAATTGTTGCCAATGCTGTGAACTGCCCTGAGTCCTCTTTGGGGTTGAGAAGGGCGATAGACGTACAAATGCTGCAAACAAACAAAACAAATATACTGGTACTACTGTCTACAACATTAGAGCCAACCACACTGGAGAATGAGGCATGTTGCAAGCTGGGAAGAGGGGTAAGCTAGGAGCAATAGTATGGTCCTAGGAACAGGAATTTGGAAAAGGGTAGGGTGAGAACAAGGCTTGGGCTTATTGTCATTGAAGAGAAGAGAGGATGAGGTGATAGTGGTAGAAGTAGAGTTGCAGAATGAAAACAGCTCCCATATTTTTAGGTTATTTGGAAGAGGCCGATCAGCTGATAGTGTTGTTAGCTGGTTGCGTGAAATTCCCTCTTCTTCACAACCAGTGTTTAATCCAGCAAACTTAGGTAGGAGGGGGAGAAAAATGGGGAGGCTGCTTCTAAAGAAGTAAAGCTGGGGAAATAAGGGGGAGACAAAAGCAAGGAAGGATAGCAAAAGAAGGAAATTGTGTTTTATGTATTATCGACGGCTGCTGTTATAATAAATAATAATAATAATAATACTTTATTTGTACCCCGCTACCATCTCCCCAAGGGACTCGGTGCGGCTTACATGAGGCCGAGCCCACAATACATCAGTAAAAACAATAACAACAATAATACAAAACAATAAATAAAACTCATAAACAGAAAATAAACAGTAAACATTAACAATAACAAAACAACGTTTAAAAACCTATGGTTGGGCCAAATGTAATAATTAAAATTTTAAAAATAATGCTGAGCATGACCAGATGAAATATAACTAGGATAGAATTTTCGGAGAGGAATACGGCGTGCAGACAATCCTAGATCACTAATAAAGTGCATTTAGGGACATATTGCTAGGAGTTTCCTTATTCTGGGAAGGCACGCTGGAACAACCACATTTTCAGGCTCCTCCTAAAGAATGCCAGAGTTGGGGCATGCCTGATGTCCTTGGGGAGTGAGTTCCAGAGTCGAGGGGCCACCACCGAGAAGGCCCTCTCCCTCGTCCCCACCAATCGCACTTGTGATGGAGGTGGGAGCGCGAGCAGGGCCTCTCCAGATGATCGAAGAGATTGTGTGGGTTCGTACACAGAAATGCAGTCACGCAGGTAGGTGGGTCCCAACCCATTCAGGGCTTTGTAGGTAAGAACCTGCACCTTGAATTGGGGCCGGAAAATGAACGGCAGCCAGTGGAGCTCCTTAAACAGGAGGGTTGACCGCTCCCTGTAAGGAGCACCAGTTAACATTGCCGTTACTTGTTATTATTGTTACATTATTTTATGCTGTTTTATGTGTCTTAATTGTTATTGCTTTGCTTTTAATTGTATTCTGCCTTGGGCTTGGCCCCATGTAAGCACTTACAAGGACTTTTTATTTTCACCCTCCAGGAAAGTTTAAATTAAAGCAATATTCCTCAAAATGAAATGGACTGTGTATACTCATGTATAGGTCAACCTCATGTATAAGTCGAGAGCTGATTTTTTAGGCCAAAATTATGGATTTTAATATGATTTGTGGATACATCTAAGGTCATCCCATTGAGAGAGGAAAGCGCCAATGCTAACTCAGGAAACCTGCTGCTGTTGCTATTTCTCTGCTCAAGCATTGGGAGACACAGAAAGAGCCTCCTTGAAGACTGAGTAAATGCAATCAGGCGTCTCCTGGGCAACGTTTCTTGTAAACAGCTGATCTTTCCAACCCAAAAGCATTGCTTTATATACAATACTTTAGACACGAAATAAAGCTCAAGCATTCAAAAAGGACAGAAACAGGACCATGGCAGAAAAATAGAAGGGGATCCGTGGTTTTTTAAAAGCTTCCTCCCAGGATGGACTTGTATCTTGCGCCTTGCCACTCTCTTCAGAGATGGGGATTGATGCTTTTTTTATAAGAGTTTGGGTACTTATTCTGAACTGTGGATAAGTTAAACCAAGTTTTTTTTTATTTTCTGACTCAAATTTCTAGACAAATATGTGAGCAATAGGTTACCTCTGCATTTTTCTGGTATCTCCAAGCTGCCTAAGATGATGGATGCAAAGAAAATGCAGCATCTGTTCTCAGGATAGCAGATGCAACAGAAATCAAGCAAAGGAAAGCTAGCAATAAAAGAAAATGATCCTAATGCTTAACTAGTGTAGTATTGCTAAGATGCTTTGGCGCTTTGACTATAACTCCAGAATAAGATGTATCTCAGTGGAAATGGGTAAAAACAATTCCTAACACTACATATGCCATGTGATTGATGGGAGGGGAAAAACACAGGGGAGAGGGAGTCAGGATATTTCAAGAAAGTGTTTGGATGCAAAGCCATGAATGTTTTGTTAGCAATGCTTGCTAGGCAGAAGGTGAAATGTTATAAATGAAATAAATGATGTTGTTCTTG